TGGATGAAAATCGACATCAAATCACGGAATGGGTGGTTTGTTAAGTAGATGAGTAATGCTTCGATACCATTCCATGTATGGATCAGTGGCATCCATCATGTCGAGGGTAGGCTTGCATGAACAATAGAATCCCGCCACTGCTCTCACATGCTAGTGTAGCGCTGACGTACGGTCAGTCAATCATAACCAGGTGTGCCAAGCCTATTTGTGGCATGCAACTCCCTACTGGAATCACAAGCCGCTGGTATCAGCTGTTTGCGTCCAAACTGTTGGAGAACATGGTCGGAGAAATGCCACTCCACCACATCAAAACAAATAAGCGGTGCTCGTGTAGTCCATGAGTCCTGACTCCTCAAGCAATAATTTGGTAGGCTGGCCAGCACATCCACATTGAAAGGTTGCCATATCATCTGCAGTATAAGAATGACCAGTGTTGTTAGATTTAGACAAAAATTAAAAATTTCGGTAGAATTTTCCCTATAAGTATGACCCCAAAATATTTTCAAAACCACCTGTTGCATCTTATATTTCATACATACACTAACAACACAAGTCATACATACATCCACCAATCATACAAACATCCACCAACCAGACATATATCCAATAACCCACCAACAACAACATACACCAATAACACAAATAACTAACAAATGTATGTATAATTGTTGGTATACCTACTTATCCCGCATCTGATCAAGTTGATCTTTGTAATGTCTTAGAAAATGGGTAGACTATGTTNAACCACCAACCAGACATATATCCAATAACCCACCAACAACAACATACACCAATAACACAAATAACTAACACATGTATGTATAATTGTTGGTATACCTACTTATCCCGCATCTGATCAAGTTGATCTTTGTAATGTCTTAGAAAATGGGTAGGCTATGTTGCTCGAAAAATGCAATATTCCAACTACATAGCAAACAAAAACAGAGTTACATATGACATTAGTTGGCATTATGTACTAGTAATGAATAATGAACCANGGCTATGTTGCTCGAAAAATGCAATATTCCAACTGCATAGCAAAACAGAGTTACATATGACATTAGTTGGCATTATGTACTAGTAATGAATAATGAACCATACAACACAAATATTGTCTTACCTACACCCACGAGGGCCTACAAGCAGGTCATCATGTGGCGCGACATGTGGTGCAAGATCACGTGTTAGTGCAAGTGCAACACCATTTGTTGGGTCGTCCTCTACATGTGCATATGCCTCATCCGCTATTACATGATGTAATGGTCCACGTGGGAGTACTCTCTCTAGATGAATGTGTGCTAAAAGCTCCCATGCCCATAACTATATAAATACACNCTCACGAGGGCCTACAAGTAGGTCATCATGTGGCGCGACATGTGGTGCAAGATCACGTGTTAGTGCAAGTGCAACACCATCTGTTGGGTCATCCTCCAGATGTGCATATGCTTCATCCGCTATTACATGATGTAATGGTCCACGTGGGAGTAATCTCTCTAGATGAATGTGTGCTAAAAGCTCCCATGCCCATAACTATATAAATACACGAAACAATTGTAATGGAACTCGTATGTTTGACATTACATTAAACTTAAAACAACAATTGTACGAACATGAAACAAAAGTCTAAAATATACCTGTAGTAGAACAAGCAAGCCATTGATATCCTTAGCATCGCGTCTAATAGTGACATATATCTCACGGTATAGCCAGGCCAAGGCTACGCTACCCCAACTGTACTGACAGTGGTAAGATCGACAATCAAGGGAAGGTACATCAAATTCACCTTGCTAGATGACTTGTCTATGAATAGATATGAACCGATCAATAGCATGATCTATGATCTGGCATAACAGGCTATAAAAGCATCGTCAGCATCTACAGGTACACCTCCATCCAAATGACCGCGCAATGCAGTAAGCCTGAGAAAAGATTCTTCTATAGCCCTCGCGATAGGTGTAAACCCAAAAAACTATTGGCATAGTGCTGGCCAAGTTGTGTCATCAGGACAACTATCCCTCTCAGTCACTGCCATACCATTGATCAGTAGGCCTATATGCACAATGACATCCTGAAGGGTGATAGTGGCCTCCCCCATAGAAAGATGGAATGTGTGCGTCTCAACACGTCATCTCTCAACCAGTGTTGTGATGAGATCCTAGTCCAATCGCTTGGACGCAACCTTGTGCACACCGTAAAAATTAGTAGTAACCAAAAGACAAAGAATGCACTCAACCGTGACATGTAACTATCGTGCGGTGCGCTCAATACGCCTACAGTGTAAAGGGGGGAGATCTATGCCCTGTCATATATAGTCTGACTGATGCTCTACCTATAACAAAAGAACAGAATGATCACGTGGACCATGATGTACTAAATGCCTACCTTCAGTGTCCATAGCTAGAACTAAATTAATCTGCAAAAAGCAAAATACACTTATGAATTATAATGAAAAAAACCGCAATAATATATTGATAAATGTAACTAAATTAAGATGCAAAACCAAAATACACTTATGAATTATAATGAAAACATTTGCAATCAAATATTTATAAAGGTAACAATTTCAACATCCAACATAGCATAATGATATTCTTTCAAAAAACATGTACTTATAAGCTTGTGTTCCTATAAAATCTTACACAATAACCGCATCATAAGGTCTAATACACACTTGAGTAAAACATTTTTTTTCTTTTTTTAGTACAATTTAACAAGCTCACAAAATAACTTGGGACTATCTAGTGAATGGATGATGGAGCTCGCGTGCTTATGGATGAACACTTCCGACGATTGTGACCCACTTCACTGCATGTCCCACAATGTATCTGATTACGATCCTCTGACGAAAAGTCCATCTTATTCCGTATTCTCATCGTCCTTGGCCAACCAATTAAGTCTCGATATTGGTTAAGATTAGGGACTAGTTTGGGACTTGGATGATCATCCCAATAATGTTCATGCTCCAGAGTATACATTTGGGGCTCCCAAATTTTCTCTAAATTGTCAATGTTGTATATAGGATCTATGTACGACTGAAAATGAAATTGAAAATGAGATCATTCAACCAATACATGAGAGCAAGAAATTCTGTAAATTGTCTGCCCATTTTTTGCCTGTGCACGAACGATCTTCAAGATACACAACTTGCTTCTGCCCACCACTAGTCACCACTTCAGCAAAACCACACTCCTTATGAAATTGCATCACTTCGTGGATACGACTCATTTTCTATGTATGTTGTACTCGTTTTACAACACTCTTAGGGAACTCTAACCCATTTTTTTTTAATTTTGCCACATTATCTCAATGTTCAAAATGATATTTAGTGATCCAATAAAATATTGATTGCACACAAGTAGTTATGGGAAAATACCTAGCACCTTGGAAAACACTATTAAAAATCTCAGAAATGTTGGTTGTCATTATATCATATAGTCGTCCACCATCATGGGCTAATGTCCACTTCTCCACTGGTATATTATTTAAGTAATCAGTTGTTTCCTCTTTGACATTGCGTATTTAGGTCATCAACTCATCGAACTTGTCTTGTCTTGCCAGCCCTCCACATAAGATAGTACAAATGACCATCCTTAAATTGTGCATTAAAATTTCTACGAACATGCCAAAAACAAAAGTGATGATAAGCATGTGGTGGATGCCACCCAGAATCTTCCATATTCACAGCAGAAAGGATCCTTACGTACCTATCAGAAATTAAACATATCTCTTGCCGATGCCTAATAACTATCCACCAAAGGTAATATAGGAGAAAAGACCAACTTGGTTTATTCTCCCTTTCCACAATAGCAAATACAATGGAAAACAACTGTTTATTAGAATCAAAATCAGTCACCACTAACAGCTTTCTCTTATAATTTTCACACATAATGTCCTGCTAATACTGACAATAGGTCGACAATATTTAAACCCTTTAATGATGGCCTTGAATGCCTAAAATACTCATAAAAATATTATATTCAAGAGATTCATAGTTGTACTCACTTCACAATCAAGCCAGGGTTATACTTCTTAATGACACCCAAAAACTTTGGCAACATGTCATACAGCGAGTCCTAATCACCGAAAATCTTAACGATGACCTTGTTTCTCGCAATCCATATTTATTTGTAGAAAATATCATACTTAAACTTCTCATTTATATTATTCTGAATTGTTGACATTTTTGTTTATGGTGTATCACCAACAAGTCCCAGTATATTATGACATATGAAGTCAGAGTCTAACTTTCGATGATCACAACTTATTCGAGGGTAGAAGCAGGTATGAGGTCCATCATATTTCGTGATCTAAAACATTTTGAATTTTTTTTCTAAAATAAGCACATAGTCTCCATATGCAGTTAGGTTGCATGTGCATGTTGCACTGTACAGCCAACACTATTGTGTTCGTCTTGACCATGACATAATCCTGATTTAACTTGATGGAATACCATTTAACTGCCCTAATCAATGAAGCTTTATCTTGAAAACCATGTTCTATTACAATTCCATCTTCATCAGATCCCAAAAATTTATTTCAAAAGACAGTACAAAGCTATCTGTTTCAGAATGCTGACCAAATTTAGTGATTGTGATAGAGGTGGAGTAAGGTTTATGCATCCGAACCTTTGCACCAATCTCAATGTCTTCACCATTCCTATCTTTGTCATCCGGCTCAGTAATCATTACTTTTTCAAACTCTTCTTCTTATTTTTCATCATCGAAGACATCTGTACGATCATTGGCACACATTTTTTCATATTCCCGGATTGAACTTTGTTGCATTATTAGTTGATGGACATCATCTTGTTCACCAAACTCAATTTCTGCCTAACCCCATTTGAAAATTTTTACTTGGTGAATTATTGGTTGAGTACCCACCATATGTTGCGGAGCTAGTTCTTTGGTGGGTGTACGAGTATTGCTCAAAATCATCCATTACTTGCATCCTCACGGGTGGTGGAGGTGGAGATGGGTTTCAAAAGGTGGTGCTGATTTGGGATGGTAATGGTGGTGGAGATTTCGCAGAATGGTGCAAGTGGAGATGGGTTTCAGATGAAGTTTTGTGGAGGTGGGTTTCAACTGGTGGTGGAGGGGATTTCTGGTGGAGGAGATTTTGCCTTGGACTGGTGGAGTTGGATGCAGATTCTGCTGGATGTGGGTTGGTTACAAAATCAAGGTTGGTGGAGAAAGGCGATGCTTGTGGAGATTTCTCTTAGGACTGGTCTGATTCTGAAGGTGGTGCTAGTGATTTGTTGCCTGAAGGAGGTTGGAAATTCAATAGGGCTCAAACAAAATTGGGGGGAAGAAGAAAAATAAGAGAGAAGAAGGAAAGAAGAGAAACGATTTTGGATACAATCTAAAAACGTCATTACAATTTACGTTTTTCGCTCTTCTAGACGGTCTCAATTTAAACAAAAAAGGTCACTTGGTCTGACGTTTTTAGTGTAAAAACGTTACTCCAATTGACATTTTAAGCATGAAAACGTCATTCCAACTAACGTGTTTAAAAGGGCATGAGTTTGAAAAATAATTTGAAACCAAATCTCTTTTGGGTATAAGTTTGTAAAATACATTGGTGTATGCCTTCTACCTTCTGCTTTCTTTTGAAACCAAATCTCTATTTCTTTTGTTTCCAATGGTACCTTTTTTTCACTTTTCTTTCAGCATGCATTCTGCTTTCAGAAAGTATGCCTTCTGCTTCATTCATTACGAAACTTGTTTTATTCACATCCAATGTACCTTCTTTGTCTTCATCTCTTGCCTCTTCTTTCACCATCTTGAAAAATCCACCAAAAAAATGGATACTAACAAAAGGGTGGAGCCAAGGCCATCACCATCAAGGAAAACAAGGTGTACACAAAACAAATGGTGGAAGATAAAGGCGATGAATTGGAGGAGGAGGAAGAAGAAGAAGAAGTAGGAGGAGAAGAAGAAGAGCCTTGCGAGGTTCATGCGAAGAAAAAAATGTATCTTGTTGGTGGGTCTGGTGAGCAAGTGTCTAGTGCTGGTGGTGGTGGGGGAGGGGTGGCGCGACCTTGCTGTCAAGTGGAAAAGTGCACCATCGATTTGAACGATGAAGCACTACCACCGACGCCATAAGATTTGTGAGGTTCACTCCAAGGCTCCGGTAGTCATGATTCCCAAGTTATGGCAACGGTTTTGTCAACAATGCAATAGGTTTTTCAAAACCCCAATATTTTGATTTTTAGTAAATTTTTGGTAATAATCTTAGAATAATATTTAGTTATAATTAGAATGCAATGTTGGACATTAAGGAAGGAAGGGGGTGTTAGGACGTCTTCAATCTTAACTTAATTTTTTATTCAAATTTGAGTTAACATTAAAATGAAAAATTTGATTTGATATGCAACACTTCAATAAGCAACCCCAAATTTATAGGAGGACAAGTACAAATTTAAAAGGCTATTAAGTTTTTTAAGAAGTTAGATTCTGACCATTAAAAAATTGAGTTTTCCTGCTATGCGTTTGATTAAAGGACTGAAACTTATTTTTAACATGTTTGAATTCAAATTTAAATTTAAATTAAGATTCGAGTAAGGATTGAAAATGTTCATTAACCGTTTGGTGCAAGAGTACGTCATAAAAGAAACAATCTGAAATTAATTTAGGATTCGAAACATTAGCAAGTGAATTTTAGCTATGGGTGAATGGTAAACCTGTTTCAGTATTTGAGTTAAAAAATTATTCCCCTCCCTACTCTGTCTATGTCCAAAGGATGGTAGTTAGAGAGGGAAGTCGGGTGATCTGATTGCAAGTTGAGGCCTCATTAGGAATCGCCTTGGTAAAGTTGGGTCATGTCCAATGTTGTTATGGAAGGTCATTCCATAGATGGTTTCAAAACTCTTCATATTTTCCAATGATGTCCAAAAATAGCAATTCTATCAACTGTAGCTTTAAAATCTAGGTTCCATGAGCTATCAGAATTCGACTAAACAAAAAGAAGTTGTCGTAGGCGTTTGGTAGGCCACAATGAACGATGTTGGAAGAACTCATTATTTGAATCTCATGAGGAGGGATCAAGCCACATAGTATTGGTGTCGTAAATTGAAGGATAATCAGCGAAGGCTGGTAGATGAAAGAAGAAGAGCTCAGATAGCTTTCCATGGGACTTCTNTCGTAGGCGTTTGGTAGGCCACAATGAACGATGTTGGAAGAACTCATCATTTGAATCTCATGAGGAGGGATCAAGCCACAGAGTATTGGTGTCGTAAATTGAAGGATAATCAGCGAAGGCTGGTAGATGAAAGAAGAAGAGCTCAGATAGCTTTCCATGGGACTTCTTCTTACGAAAATGTTCACATCCATTGAGATCTCAAAAAATCATTGCTTACTCTCTTCTGTCACCCCCATGGCATCTTTGTGCCCCTTGTAATGTATTTTACTTCTAGCTATTTATTTCAAGAACTGTGTTTAGATCAAGTGCAAAAGTCATCATCCATATCATTGTAAATACCNAGCATTGCTCACTCTCTTCTGTCACCCCCATGGCATCTTTGTGCCCCTTGTAATGTATTTTACTTCTAGCTATTTATTTAAAGAACTGTGTTTAGATCAAGTGCAAAAGTCATCATCCATATCATTGTAAATACCATTTCCTATTAAAGGAAAGATAATATTTCAAGCTCTTCTCTTTGTTTGATTTATTTGGNATCATTGCTTACTCTCTTCTGTCACCCCCATGGCATCTTTGTGCCCCTTGTAATGTATTTTACTTCTAGCTATTTATTTCAAGAACTGTGTTTAGATCAAGTGCAAAAGTCATCATCCATATCATTGTAAATACCATTTCCTATTAAAGGAAAGATAATATTTCAAGCTCTTCTCTTTGTTTGATTTATTTGGCCTTCAAGTCAAACAAAGATTTATCGTATTGAACTAACAATACCCTGTGCAACGCACAGAATGTCTAAAAATTTTGCAATTGTGAGAACCATGCACCCCACCAAGTTGCCCCCTCATGACAATCAACTCGTTATTCCCTCCCTGCCCAAACCCACCTACCCCCCAACAACCAGGGCCGGCTCAATGAAAACTGGGGTCCTAAGCGAAAGTGTTAAATAGGGGTCTATATTTATCAAAACAAAATATATTGTATGATTAAAATTTTATTTTTTTTCATTTTTTGTGAAGCAAAATTAGTAATTAAATTTTTATATTTGAGTTTTGCTAGTATATTTTTTCAATGGGTAATATGACTAATCCGTCCAATCTTTTTTGTGTTATAGTTGATCGTAAGTAGAATTTTATGAGTTTTAATTTTCAAAGAACTTGACATANTTTTTTTCATTTTTTGTGAAGCAAAATTAGTAACTAAATTTTTATATTTGAGTTTTGCTAGTATATTTTTTCAATGGGTAATATGACTAATCCATCCAATCTTTTTTGTGCTATAGTTGATCGTAAGTAGAATTTTATGAGTTTTAATTTTCAAAGAACTTGACATATTTCAAACTAAAAATTCTTGTGAATAAAATATATTTTAAAATAACAAATACTTATACTAAGAAAACAATCTAATATCTTATAAAAATCAATAAGAATTAAACACAGTATTACTTGATAAATAAAAATTGTATAAGCTTTGAATTGACGATTTGTTCGCCTCCTAAATCATCTAGTATTTCAAACTTTCAAAATAAAAAAGAATAATTACATTAAATTAATCCTATCAATAAAAATACTAAAAAAATAAATTACTAATCAAACAAATATGTACCTTTACAATTTAATCTAAGTTGCAAGAGAGAGATACATAATTATACTATATGAACTTTTTTTACTTGGAGAAAGAGAGAGTAGACTTTTAGGCTTTAATTGTGGAAAATTAATTTTTGTATTTTTTAGAACTTTCAAGTCTTTTAAGTTTTAATCGTTGAAAAAAGTGAGAGAGATGTAAATTGGACCTTTATTTTAGTCTAGGCCTTGTAAGAATTTCCATTAGATTGGGCCCTTTAAACCAAAATTTTTGGGCCAATTTAAATTACATTTAAAAACTATACTTTTTTTTTTGGGAGGGGAAGGGGGCTTGAACTCTTGACCTCAAGAAGACAAAATTTTCATAAAATAAAGAGATCCATTGGACCAAAGACCCATTAATATTTAAAGACTATACTTATTATTTGTGGCCCCTCCTATTTTTTGGGCCCTAAACAAATGTTTAAATGACCTTTCTATTGGGCCAGCCCTGCCAAGAACCACCCCTTAAAACCTGTGCGTAGTAGAGCCAACACTCCCACCCCCAACAAAAAGAAAAATAACAAATTTCCACTATGCCAACCCTAACTTCTTGACTAAAAAACAAAAAAAAAAAAAAAATCCAAACTTCCACTAGTCCACTTCTCTACAATAACTTGCACCCTCCCCTCCGTAGAAGGCAAAACAATTGAAGGTAAACATTCTCTCGCAAGCTACCTAAAAAAAGACTATAAGTATCAATAATATTCATTAACCAAACAAAAACAACACAAAAAGAAAAAAAAAATCTCATACCGACACAAAACAATTTTTGAATAGTCTTAGTCTTAGAAATTTAAAAGCAACGCCCATAAAATGCATATCCAATTTAAGCATGGAAACTATATAAAACTGATTCCAACTCCCCACAAAAAAAAAAAAAAGAAATTTGTTAGAAATTATCAAATAATGTAGAAATACATAATTTTGAGAGAGAAAATGTAAAAATACGCTATTACCAAAAGTACCTTATAATTAATAAAAGCATGAACCTGACCTAGATGACATCAACAAACCACCAAAAATCGCATAAAATAACACACATCACCATTATATTATTGTTTTGTTGCTAAAGTGGCACCAATAATGTAGGAAGCAATTCATAGGTTACTAAAATCAAAATTCACAAATATAATGCATTCAACATGTCAAAAAAAATGCAAAAAAACATTAAAAAGGGAAAATTTCATCCACACTTCCTCTAGTTAGGTATAAATTTAATGACATTCCCTCTTAATTTTGAAACTTCATTGCACCTCCTTTTGATTTATACTTTCAAATCAAAAACACCCCCTTAACAATAACTTCTGACTTTACCAATATATAAAGTAACGATTTGACTATATATTTTTTAAAAATGTCAGACTACCATTTGTTATGTAAATAAATAAAATGCCGTCAACCCTTTTCCCATTACATATAGGAAAATTTTCATCTAAATTCTTTGTAGTTAAGTCTAAATTCAATGACAACCCGTCTTGATTCTAAAACTTTATTGTATATCCTTCTGGTTATACTTTTAAATCAATGACACCCTTTAACGGTAACTTTTACCTCTACTAGTAGATAAAGTAATGATTTTGACTAAATATTTTGTGAAAATACCAAAAGTACTTTTTGTTATGTAAATGGACTAAAATGTCCACAATCATTTTTCCATTATATATGTCATAATCAACTAGTAAGTGTGATTTCTATTATTATATTATCCCAGTGAATTTTTATCATTTTAAAGCGTTGTATGATAATTTTGTTATAATATTAGTCATCGTATTGTCACTCATTTAATTAATAATTGAGTTTTTATAATTTTTATAGTTAAAAATAATTTTTCTATAATACAAATTACAATCAATAAAGTCAATGTCAAAATTTCATCCATTTCTAACTCTTCTGCTGTTGTTTGCCTCCACAACATCACCTGACCACTCTTCACGCATCACCATTCATATATAAAATTTAAATATTATTTGATAAAATTTAATATTAATTAAATAAATTTGGTCTTAATTTGATAAATTTAAATATTAATTTAGTGCTAATTTGATAAAATTAAATATTAATTCATTGCTAATTTGATAAAATTTAATATTAATTGAATAAATTTAAATATTACTTTAATGAAATTGAATGTTCATTTGGTGTTAAATAAAATAACTGACATCAATATGATAAGGTTAAATGTCAAATTAATGAAATTTAATATTCTATTTAATAAATTAAATTTTGATTTAATAACATTTAATGTCAATTTGGTGTTGATTTGATGTAATTAAATAATAATTTAATATTAAAAAAAGAAATAATATTAATTTGATGAAATAAAATATTAAATTAATATAGCT